GGGGGTGGGGGGAGTGTGTGAGGCGGGAGCTCCTGGACCTCAGGCTCCGTCAGCTTCTGTTCTGCATAGGAACACTGGGCCCTCCTCGCCTCCCCTGAGGGACACGCTGTCTCCGTGCCCCATCTTGTCCTTGTTTCCTGCAGCCTGAGTCCCATCTCCCAACCAGCTCATTGCAGCCCCTGCCCACCCTCTCATATGCCCCACCCCACCGAGGTTTCCCCACGCAAACCAAGGGGACCCTCTCATCTCTATGCCCCACGAAGACAGAGCAAGCTCTGTGAGAACTACAGAGAGCGATGGGGAGCCGTGAGGCCGGTAAAATGAGCGCTTCCTCGCTCCCTTAGCTCCATGGACCTGCCTCCCCTGCCCTTAGCTCTGGGCCACAGCCTTTGTCCTTGTCCCCTTGTCCCCTTGTCCCTGTCTATCGCCCCCAGAAAGGATCCAAGAAACAGGCCCTCTTAGGAGTGAGCAACTAGTAAGGCTGACAACGCTCGCATTTTCATCAGGACAGCGGTCTTGTGCTAAAGGGATGAGTATATTACAGACACAGAGACGCGAGGGAAGGCAGTGTCTTTAGGGTGGAGAAGCAGGCCTCCCCGAGACCCCCATCAGCTCCACTGCCAGCCCCCTGCACAGCACTGGCAGGTCCCACCCACTTGTTGGTGGGGCTGAAGACGAAGAAGGAGCTGGCTTCGGGAATGGGCACCGCCTTTTCCTTCAGCTGCAGCTCAGCCAGGGGGCGGGGCCGGGGGCTCACTGGGATCTCAGGCTCATCTTCTTCATCGTCTCCTAGGGGAAGGCGGGGAGAGAGAAACTGGGTTGGGGGCACCTTCCCATGCCTTGCTGGTGCTCTGATTTCTGCGTCCGGAGCCTTCCTATGAGCCTGTCCAGCTGGCATACCAAGGCGACAGCAGGGCAGTGTGGGACACGAGGATGCGACAGGACCGAGCGCAGTCACCCCCCCACCTCACCCCGCCCCCAGCAGGTTTAAGCTGTCAGGGGTGTTTGAGGCAGACCCAGAACCTTCTAGAGGTGAGAGCAGGGAGCCTTACTACTGCATCTCCCATCTCAGGGAGAGATCCTCCAATCTCCCACGGGGGGAGGGTTGTGGAGCCCTGAGGTCCGGTCTCGGCTCTGGCACAAACTTTCTGGACAGTGAGCCCCTTCCCCTTCCAGAACCACTTTCCCAGGCTGTGGGCCTGGTGGCAGGTGGGTGGGCTTGGGAACAGACTCGAAGGTCTTCCCCTGGGCAGGGGTCTACAATCAGTCACCTCACAGGGGAACCCCCAGCACGCAGAACCATTGCTCAATGCGTGCTGAGTCTCAGCCAGTTCCCAATGTTGAGCCATGTAAGTAGGAGAGAGGGAGAGGCTGACGGTCCAGGTGCGTGTGCAGGGGCTCATAGGCTTCAGGGGAGAGCTGAGTGCCTGAGGTCTTTAGTTCCAGGGCCGGAGATCTAGTGACTAATGTTGGGGTGCCCCCTCCTCTTACAGGTGCTGGCCAGCCCTGTGGCTCCCCGAGCCCAACCACGCTGCCTCCTCCCTACCCGCTAGCTGCCCCTGGCCTTCAGCCTCACCCTGACTGACAGAGACCCTCAGGGGCTGCCCCTGCAGCTCTGCAGCCTGCAGGCCCCCTCAGTCCCCCAGAATCTCATGCTGCTCCCCCTGGAGCCTGAACGCCTCTTCTTCCTCAGAACGAGCCTCAGGACCATCGCTCCTACCTTACCTGAGGCGCGCTTTCTGATTCACTGCGAGGACCGCTATTCTTAGGGTTAGCGTCTTTGCCCCTTTCGCACCCACTTCTTGCTTTCTCAGTTTGTTAATCCAGTTGCACGTATCCTGAGTTGTGGGCCCTTTCAAAGCATTTTTGCAGAGAAGTAAGGTATACAGAAACATATCCAGTCTCTTTGGTAAGGCTGCTCTTCCAGCTGCCCAGCCCCCAGCCTCTCTACCCTCCTGGCTTCTTTGGCCCCCCTCCTGCCCCCGCACTAAAGGCCTTGTCTGAAGGTTCCCGGGGCCAGCCCCTCACCCTGTGCTCACCAAGCTCTCCCCAGGAATCGATGGCAGTTCTCTGAGGGCCCCGTGACCAGGGGAGTGCAGCCTGAGTGTGCATCTTTGGCAGATCTCTTTCCAATATCCCTGGACTTGCCCACCCCACCTCTGTGCTCCCACACTTCAGTGCGCAAGCTCACTTTCTCAGTCCCGTGCCATGCCTAGCCCAGAGAGCCCCCCTGGAGTGTGGGGTCACTGGGGGAACAGAGCTAACCAACGGATCCCACCATAGAACGCATGGCAGAGCCCGGAGTGACCTGGTGCTCTGAAGCACCTGAGCAAACCTCTCTAGGAGGCGGACACCCTCGGGAAGCCTGTTAGGATGGATGAGTCAGTGAGCTCCCACCCACCAGTGGGATCCATGAGGTCCACTGGC